ATGAGTTCAGTTCGTATCCTTTTATCTCTAGCAACCACCTATTCATGGTCCTTGTTCCAGCTTGATGTCAAAAATGCCTTCCTCAATGGTGATTTACAGGAGGAGGTATATATGGACAATCCAACAGGCTTTTATGAAAATGTTGGTAAAGGAAAGGTGAGTAGACTCAGAAAATCTCTGTATGGACTGAAACAGTCACCTAGGGATTGGTTTGACAGGTTCAGAGGGGCACTTATCCGTTTCTGATACACTCAAACCCATTCTGATCATACCCTCTTTATAAAGAGGAGAAATTCTCTGGTGTCAATTCTGATTGTGTATGTGGATGATATAGTGGTTACATGAAATGATCTGGAGGAAATTGATGATCTCAAAAAATCATTACAGCAAGAATTTGAGATCAAAGATCTTGGTGAGCTCAGATACTTCTTGGGGATTGAAGTTGCAAGATCCAAGCATGGGATCTTCATCTCACGGAGAAAGTATGTACTTGACCTACTATGGGAGACTGAAAAGCTGGGGACCAAACCAGCAGACACTCCTATTGATCCAAATCACAGAAGATGGTGAGTTGGTAAAAGATGTGGGGAGATATCAAAAAATGGTGGGTTGATTGCTATATTTGTGTATGACACGACCAGATATTTCTTATGCTGTCAGTGTTGTGAGTTAGTACACGCATGCACCTCGAGTTCAACACTATGAAGCTATTGTGAGAATGCTTGCATATTTGAAAAAGCACCCTGGCAGAGGCATTCTTTTCTCAGATCATGAAAATTTGAAGCTAGAATCCTATACAGATGTAGACTGGGCAGGAAGCTTAGATGACAGGAGGTCTACATCAGGAGTGTGTGCCTTTGTAGGTGGAAACTTGATCTCCTAGAAGAGTAAGAAGCAAGCGGTTGTGGCAAGGTCAAGTGCAGAGGCTGAGTATAGATCCATGGCTCATGGTGTCTTAGAATTTCTTTGGGTTAGATCTCTTTTGAGTGAGATTGGGGTGAAAGCAGAGGAACCTATGATGCTGTACTGTGACAATCAGGCTGCAATCAATATTGCCCACAATCTAATTCAACATGACAGGACAAAACACATTGAAGTTGATAGACACTTCATAAGAGAAAGGGTAATAGTTGGAGAAGTTTGTTTGCCTTATGTCTCTTTAGAGTTGTAGTTGGCTGATGTTCTCACTAAAGGGGTGGCAAAGAACAAGCTAGAACATGATCTACGCAAGTTGGGAATGTGTGACATTTACTCCAAACTTGAGGGGGAGTGTTGAAGATTAATTAGTTTTATGTTGTTTTTCTGAGTAGATGTTTTATGTTAGTTGTTAGATAGGAGGTGGGGACCACAGTAATTATGTGAGTCCAAATTTTATTATGTTTTTGAGTCTTATATATGCTGTTTTCATGTTATGCCACCTTATAAGGGCATAGTTGTCTTTGTACTGTTCTATTATTTTTAGTATAAATAATAAGTGAAGGGAGCGGCTAGATCATTGCTCTTTTTTCTTTTCAAAGATATCTCCTTCTCTCTTTTTTCTCTCTTCAAGAAAACTTTTCTGTTCATATATTTGATTTCAACAGATTTCTACTGAATTAATTGGACCATGTGCAGTATCTCAAATCATCATCTAAATGCCCCAATTAGCAGAAGAAACAACTGCATAAATTACAGGTTCATCTCAGAAAGGTTAGTCAAACTCTATCTTGGACCAAATAGGGAAACATGGGGGAAAAGAAAAGAAAAGTCAGCACTACCTTAGAAAAATAAGATCATATCATGCATGCTAGACAATGGAAGGATCCTGCAAGTCTATTAGGAATGGATAATCTGAGGGGATGGGCTGCATGTATGGAATATCATCTTTGAATAACCTCTCTTCACTGTATTGAATAATGCCAGATGGAAGATAGGAAGGACAAGGGATTGGATAATTTTGACTTGGGGGTTAAAACATTTGTACATTAAAAAATAAGCATGTTTGTTTGATTGGTGAAGTAAACAAGTATGTTGAGACAGAACATCACAAAGATATGCAACTCAAGCCCTTCATTGATACCAAATCATAAAGCCTAAATAACAAGAACAAAGAAAACCCCTCATGAATAACAGACCACTAAGTGCTGAGCCAGTACTCCAAGGAAGACCTTAACATGGAGGAACAGATTCTAGTTACTAGGATTTTTTTTGTTCAATAACAGTAAATTTTATTAAAGGATTGAGAAAATTACAGAGTCAGGGAGTAAACACTCTTAACTCCTGAATACAGCCAAGATACACCCAAAGTATAAAAGTAATTACAACAAAACCCAAAAAATAGAGTTTCTGTTCACCCCTTGCCTAGCTAGACCATCTGCCAATGAATTTGCACTTCTCTTTACCCATGTACATTGAACTTCAAGGTCCTTAGTCAGCCACTTAAATTTCCTCCTTTCATTGCTGTAATTCCAAAGCCTAGAGTTGTCCTCTTTTAGCCAGTTCACCACAATTTCAGAATCTCCTTCTATGACCAGTTTATATTCATGTCTTTGGCCCTTTGTACCCCTTCAAGAGCTGCTAGTACCTCAGCCCTCAAGGAATCTCCCACCCCAATTGGACCAGAATACATGGCTAACAGATTCCCTTTTTCATCTCTTATAACTCTCCCTATTCCGGAGGGCCCTGGATTGCTCATACTGCTGCCATCGAAATTCGGTTTAGTAAAGCCGTGAGGTGGAGGGTTCCAACAAGAACTTGAGACCTCTGGCTAATCCTAGTAACTAGGTCTCAATTTCTAGTTACTAGGATTAGCAAGAGGAAATAGTCCTGCCTAAATATATGATACCTTGGGGAGCTTAAAAAAGCTTTTTCATGACCAGCCTATGGAGAAAACTGGAATAACAAGAGTTGAAAGATGGCTATGGCTGTCATAGGTTTTGCTAATTGTGTAGGTAATAATAAAAAAGATTGAAGGAACAGAGGTAAATGCCCAAGATACTAGAAACAAAGGATCACCAAGATGTGGACAACACAATCCACAAATTAGAACCAACCAAAAAACAAAAGCCTCAGGAGTTGGGACAATTCATTGAAGAGCTATTGGATACTTGCATATAGGTAACAAGATACAAAGAGGGATACAAGATTCTGAACAACATCATTAAAACAGAATGAACAACAATAGATCATAAAAACATCTATCCAGAAAAAATGACATGGGACAGACAAAGGCCCATGTTTCAGTCAATCATGAGTTCATGAAGTAGAAACTAAAGTGCAGATATATTTCTAGTGGTAACCTCTCTGACATTTAGGTTCATAAACAGTTAAATACAAAAATCAAGCATTGTTACCGTGTAATGTAAAGTACAATTCTCATGCTTTAAGTTATTTATAGAAACAAGCGCGAATTTGATTCTGTCCACTGTCAGTCCATGAAGAGTCTTTTTTGTTTTTAACTTTCCTATTCATTGACAACAAGCAGCAGACAAAAAATTTCATTCCAAAAGAGTGAGAATAAAAAACTTAATGGTGCAGTTCGTGACTGTTAACCACCACTGCACCACATTTTTTTGATCAATACACCACTGGACCACATTGCTTACAAATTCATCTCACCAAAACTTTTTTGGACCCCTAGAAAGGCTCATCAAAACCATATTTTGATCTTAAAACTATTGTGTCCATGGAGACTAAATGCAAAAGAAGTTTTACTTGTCTAAAATCTAAAATGGAATGAGTGACATCTGTTGTTCACTAATGGGTTATGTATGGGATCATATAGTTGATCATCCTAATAGACTGTCCTAGTCAAGTGAAGAATAAGCTGTACTTATTATTGCTGTTATCATCATCATCATCATCATCATCATCATCATCATCATCATCATCATCATCATCATCATCATCATCATCATCATCATCATCATCACCATCACCATCACCATCACCATCACCATCACAACTAGAATGGTACTTTCTTTGAGATTTAATAAACAAATTGTACACAAGATAGTACCATTGGATAATTTTAGTATTAAGTTTTATAATTACTGAATCACAATTTAAACAGTAGAAGGATCTACAGAAAAAGGAACTTCCTATTGAGGATATGGTAGAGCTAATTTAGCAAAACAACTCGAAAATGTCAATAGAATTGAGCAAATCAATTCTCAAAAAAAAAAGAGCAAATCAATGGGTCCCACAAAAGAGGAGCCCACATGGTAATGTCCTCAAATAAGAATCAGAATTTTATCGCAAAAACATTTCACCAAGGATAAAAAAATACTTTTTTCTTACATACCACTACTTGTAAATTTACTCAAGTACAAAGCCCCATTGCTCATGGTAAAAGGAAAGCTAGGGCATTCTGCTAACCCATCGGATTCACTATACGAAATGTGCAAAAACATTCCAAATTTGATGAACTTTGAGGTGTTAATTTGGTACCTAGCTTTGAAGAAGCACTTTCAAATTTTAACAAAAGCTCAACCAAGGCCTGCTGAAGTTGCATCCCTTGGATAAACTAACAACTTGCATCCCTTATATAGATAAACTAGGGCTATCTTCAAGGAGTTTTTCTAGAGTTGGCTAACCTAGGAACCCTGAGGAATACGAGGTTCACTCTAGATGCCAAAAATTATCTCTGATCTGGTAGGATAGGTTCCATGGTTCTCCTGCTCTGCCTCTGTTACTCGCCCAACCTATAAGAATCTGTGGATTCACCCCTCAAAAATATATTGACATCTCCTGAAAACTGATATCCCAAGACCCTGTATAAATGAGAGAAGTTCTACTTTTTCTGATTCCCTTGAATAAACTGATCTGATTATGCTAAATCCAGATTCACAGATTCTACTCACTAAGTTCAAAATGCAATTACCTCATATTAAAAAAGATTTAATATTTTTTTTTTCAAAATCCATACGAACATATGACAACATATATAATGAGTAAACAGAAAAGGAAGTTCAAAACTATCATATCCAAGCAACATGCAGTAATGTAACAACTGAACTTACTATTGATGAAGGCATTCATTTAATTCTTTTGCTTGTTTACGACACTGCCAAATGATTGATATTGTTCTTCCTGAAGCACATTCAGCATACTTTGAAGTGTAATAATCACATTCTTTGAGTGCCTTCTGCTTCATTTTGCTGCGTAAAGCTGGAAATATTAATATATGAAAGCTCATGTTATTGTATGCCCAAAGGATACCCAAAATATAAAAGAAACAAAAAAAGAACAAGAGTCATTGACAAAATGAATACATCAAATAACATTTAAAACTTAAATAAAAAAAAATATCACAGGTAACACAATATCTGAAAGACCTAAAGTTACAAAGTATAATTGGAAATCTGAAATCCATTGAAGAGCCAGCTGACATCATATCATTTGTTTGGTTATCCACAATAACTGCTCTGCTTAGTCAGTCTCTGTTCCTTTTAAAATGTCTTTGGCTGAGAACCACAACCATCCCTTTGTTTGACTCTCTTTTTCCTTCTCTTATTTTTGTCTGAACAGTGTTCTTCTATTCTTGCAAAAAAGCTAAAAGATGATTAATGATAAAATAGAAAATCACAAATTTCCATAAAGAGGAAGAACTATAAGGTAAAAATCAAGTATCCTTCTTTTACCTTCACTTGGTTTTAGTTGAAAGTCCACATGGTAGTAAAAAAATATGATGCAAAAGTTGTATATGGACTTGGTTGAATTATTATAGCTTGCCACATTTAGATACTTGTACTTAATGATTATAGGATATATAAATGGCAATGCCTCATAACTTCTATCCAACATGATGAATTTGTCAGTAACAATTTTCTTGTTTGTTGCACATAAATGTCTCATTATGGTTTCTTGCATCCCAAATCATTAACTGTATTTATTTAACATTTCCTGAAGCTTTCTTGACAACTTACCTGCTTTCTTTCCAATTTTACCAACTTTCCTATCTTCTAAGTACAAAGTCATATTAATATATTTATGAAATTGAAGTATCCCCGTCTTCATTGGTGATATTTCTAACAATGAGACAGCAGTTTCATCCTTTCACATAATGTTATATTATGAAGTACAATTGAAGTATCCCCATCTTCATTGGTGATATTTATGAAGTACAATTGAAGTATCCCCATCTATAGTCTCAATTAGACTGGCTGGCAAACTGGGTTAAAATGAGACAGCAGTTTCATCCTTTCACAGCTGATGATATCCTTAGATGTTGGCATTACGTGGGCCCTCTTTCTTCCAGACCTTCTCTCATCCTCGAATATGGAGTTCTCCACCTCCTCATATAACCAAATTAAGTTTTGATGGTTACTGCATGGGAAACCCAGGTAACTCAGGTATTGATGGTGCCTTTAGATGTCATTCAGGAACTATCATGCTAATATTCTTAAACCCGATTAACTATGGGAACTAAGATCTGAGCTGTTGCCTCTACTTAAAGGTTTAAGACTGGGGTACTCATAGGGGTTCACAAATTTGGAGGTGGAAGGGGTCTATAAAATGATTATAGGCTGGATGCAGAACTACTATGCAGTGCCAGGTCCTTGGCAGCAGACATGATACTACAGAGACTATGTTCCTGGCAAGAAGAATGAACTATACATTCAGGTGGATAGGAAGATCAGCAAATTCATTGGCTATTTCCTTGTCTAGGGAGGGACTGGATAGATTTGAAATGTATTGGAGGTCTATCCAAGAGGGACTCAACACATAATAGTAAGATAGAAATGTGATCTTCTCTCTTTCTCTCTCTCTCTCTATTGATAGTTAGATAGAAAGGCAAGTGTTTACATGAGGCAGGTAGCATTGGATTAGTCTGGTTTCATTATAGTATTAGGGCAAAAACCCAATCTTGGTCTCATCTATTCAGGGTCTTGGGAGACTGCACTGGATACAGACCTAACCTTAATTTTTAGCACAAAGTGGCCACTCTAAAGACTCAAACCTGCACTCTCAAGCTCATGGACCCTTGAGCATGGAATATTATTGATACAAAATATCATAATTCAGAATGCTAAATAGTTATCTAGGCTGCATTTGGATTTCGTTCAGTTTATGTACTTCATGAATCATGAAGAATGTGATACCAGTAATACTTCTGCACTCTGCAGGAGGTTGCTTTTGTTCACTGTGTTTTTGAAGTTTAAATTGTAGTAATTTCATTGTTGCAGCTATTGTAGCCCAACTTCAGCTTTATTGCTTCAAAAATTGCTAAAAATAGGTAGCAATTCTTCTTACCAGATATAGTTAGTGCCTTCTTCCTTTTTCCCCCTCTTTACTGCCAGCAACATAAATGCAGCTAGCGACAGCATTGCCAGACACAACCTCATATAAGCTGCTTCCTTGGATAATGGAGATATACCATATTGCATCATTAAAATACACAAGTTAGTGTTCTCAAAACATTCTAAAGTAGGTAATATTTTAAGCCATTGAAAGTGCAAAATAGCCCAAGTCACTGGATGTTTGCCTAAATAATCACTTAAACCCAAGGCACAGCTTTGCATATGCATTTTTTATTTTATTTTTTATAAGAACAGTATAAAATATTCGTTCAACACCAACCTGCATACAAAGTAATGCAGCAAAAGAAATGTACAACATTGGGCCTCCCAAGACAGGCCACACCACAAATAACAGTAGAAACAAAAACAAATGACAGCAACTGATTACATATTACAAATTAGCAGCCGGTCCTGGACATCCCCAATCTAAACAATCTTTTCCCACCCCAGCCTTAAGCCAGATAATCAGCCATCATGTCGGCACTCCTAGGCACCCACTTGAATGAGGCGTTCACTGCATACACATTTTAATGTGGGTGGATTCAATCTTGAATGTTTTTGTCCATGCACCATCTCTTGGACAAGTAACCAATAGCCAGAGTGACTAAAGAGTTCTGAAACATCAGATAATTTTCTTCATTTTGAGTTCTACCAATGTTTTCAAAAAAAAAAAAAAGGCTGTAGTTTCATTTGAAATGTATCAATTTGATTGATAAAATGCTAATAACCGGCTATGTTTCAATGATTTGTCTCTGTAAATACATCCATACTAGATATCACACTGCACCAGATACCGAAAAATATCACATCACGGCATAGCACCATGAAGCTTATAATTCATCAGAACAATGATTCCAGTATCATTTTCATTTTCCATATTGCTTGATGCATACGCCTCGCTGCAAATGAACACATAAACATGTATGTGGCCTCATGATCTCCCTTTTTATTCATTTGAGTTTTTCCTTTTGTGTGCATCTGTCGAATGAAGTGACGAGCATTCACTAGTTTTCTGCTTTTACCATGTTTTATCAATTACATCATTGAAGAATTAGACTTGGCACTAATTTAAATCCCTTACTAGAGAACCCCGAAAAAATTTACCAAGGCTTCGAAACCTTTAAAACTACCTACAAAACACAAAGGTTTGAGAGCTTTGAAAAGGGGAAAAAACAAAAGACAGAAAATAAAGGAGCTTGCCTTCTTCTACTTTCTTCTTGACATGGTTTTCTCTGGCTTCTTGCACGTAACCCATTGAGATCTCAAAACCCACTTCACCCTAGCAGCGCCTATGCAAGAGAATCAGCAGAAGACAAACTCAGCTCAACATGCTATTTGGTAATTCGTTATTGACGCAATAACTCACAACCAAACAATACCTTCTGAATCAGTTCAAATCGACGCCTTATAATATTACTCTCACAACCAAACAATGCCTTTCGAACTCAAACAGCAATTTAGAAACTATGGTTGTGGGACTCTAGTCAACAACCTGTATCCACCTTTCGTATAGAATCTATGATCATGGATCCCATGGAGCTGTGGACCCACACCTCGATGTGTGATCTAGATGACATATCCGACGGTGAAATAAACCGTCCTACCTGCATAAAATAAAATGTAAAAGAAAAAAATAAAAACCGCCCTACCTGAAAAATGCACATTGATTTAACGTTTAATTACAAAAGGAAAATGCGAGCGAAGCAAGAGAGAAGTATTATACTATTGTTTGTTAGTTTGGTTTCAAGGATCTGACGCCATTGGATAGCCGATCCCGAATTTGAACTCAGCAAGTAAAACACTCTGTAAATTAAGACATCGTGATTGAAGAGCTCGAAGAGAGATTTAGAGTGGAGTTGTTGCAGATCCAGATTCATCCATGGAAGTCCCTCAAGGAGGATCCGATAGAGAGAAAGGAAGCTCCGGTCCTTCTTCCATCGTAGTCGTCTCGAATTTTTGGAGAGGTAGCGCCATTTCGCATTTCCGTTATTAATTAATAATTTTTCTTAATCCATATACGGAAAATTTTCGCTGAGATAGCATGTTCAGTGGAGTTGTGCAATTTGCTTTGTTGCTTCCAACTTTTAGAGCTCCTTGGACGGAATTTACTGAAAAATTTCTTCTTACTATTAGTAATAGAACCTTGAGTTGCCGAGGTTCCATTTTCCTCTGTACAATTATTGGATCACAGTAGTCAGTCCTTGAATTATTATAGTCGGTCATTGTAAACCAAGAAAGTGAACCGCAGTATCTCTCTCAATCTGTATTATATCTTCTCAGTCTTGATAAAAAGAAAAAAAAAAGATAACATAGACACCTATTCAGAATAAATGAAAAATCTCATTTGTCGATTGTAATCATGAATTCATGTTAGTGAAGAATTGGGGAAATTCTTGTCGACTAACGAGATTTAGCTGCTTAGCGTTAGGCTAGCTTTGATATTTCTAAATGACTTGTCCTCTTTATTTTAGTTGGGAAGGCTGTCATCGGAGATGAGATGGTGGCAACTGGCAAGTTTGATATGTAATCATTTACCGAAATAATTATTGCAAAGTTCTGCAAAACTTCCCTTTTTCTATTGATGGATTTTTAATTTCCCATGCATGAGAACATAAATATATCAAGATCTTTCCCTACAAGCCTAAATTATGTTTGAGGCATTATGGATTGCATTTTTATGCCCTTTTTATGAGAACGTTCAAGTTCAATGCCCTTTCCAATATACTTCTAGTTCGCTATTCAAAGTTGTATTCCTTTTATGCTATTTGATATGCATACTGATATTTTGTTATCCATGTCAGTATAATCAGTTACTTTGATTTTATGACAGCTGAGTGTCTGCAATTTTGAGACCTCAAAAATCTATATGCATATCTCTTTATGTGGTTCAGACATGGAATAAGGAAAAAACTTCTACTCCTTTTGTAAGGAGGAAATGCTCTTTTTCATGGTGGATGAAATATTCATGTAGGACCAAGGTTCAAAATTTCGATGCGATATGCCCGATATGGAGCATATCGTATTGGGAGCTTAAAACCGACCCCCTGATGCAATTTTGAAAAAAAAAAACTTAAAATAAGAAAGTTATAAAGTAGCGATACACCCGATATGCATGAAACACCCGATTTGCCTGTTCGTGCATATCGGGTGTATTGATACTTTAAACCATGTGTAGGACATATTTGAATGAATCTTAAATTTTTCATGATAATATGGGTGATATGGCTTTTTATCCACCATTTGTAGAAGCATTCTCTCCCTTTTAAAAGGAGTGAATGTGGACTCTGAAATGAGTAAATGACATGAATGGAAGGTTCTATACCATTCGCATGGAGGTGCTATACTTTTATTGTCTTTTATTATTGCAATTTAATATATATAAGTTTCTTATCGCATCAGACCAATTGTGATGGATGATACTTTTCAGATGGTGGTAATGGTGATGTTTGTGTTTAGAATGATAGCTATAGCAACTTCATGTAAGGTCGATCTCATGCATACTTTGTGCTTGTACTTTTTAAAAATGAGGTTTTTGAGTGCTTATTACAGCTTATATAGAATTATAGATATGATCATTACTCAATCAATGTTGGTCCTGGATATCCGGAATTTTGGAAGTGTTTCTTGGAGAAAATAGCCACTCTCAGACTCAAATTGTATTCTCACACTAGTCAAAGGTTTTACCATTGCACCAAACAATTGCCCCTATTACAGCTTATTTATACTTTTGTTTTAATTTTAATCTTTTTCCAGTTTTATCATATGCTTGCCAAATTTCTTGTCATTTATGTTATTACACTGCAAGAGGCAATCTAATACATTAAGCATTGTTATATGATAATGATTAGAGTTTTCTTTTCTTCTTGAATAGATTTTGACTTGGAGAAGGAAAGGAGTTTGTTAGATGAGCAGGGACTTAAGATAGCTGAAAATCAGGAAAACAGCCAGAAAAGCAGGCGGAAGCTTGCAGAGAGTACCCGAGGTATGCCCTTTAAAATCTGGATCTTAATATTAGTGCTCAATCTCATTGTTTTTGCTGTCATTGCCTTGGTCATCTGTTGGTCTGGGACATGTTCTATGTGTGTGTGTTTTTTTTTTGTGAATTTGAAGGTCGGCCTGTAAAATTTATTAATCCATATTGGCAGATTTCAAGAGAGCTTCTGCAGACAAAAAGTTAGAATTGTTTGATTCTTTACTAAAGGGTTATCAAGAGGAAGTGGACAATGTTACAAAAAGAGCAAAATTTGGAGAAAATGCTTTTCTTAATATCTATCAGAAGCTTTATGAGGCTCCAGATCCTTATCCAGCTCTTGCCTCAATTTCTGTAAGTACAACTGGTTACTTTTTAGGAACTTCCATTGGAGTGTCTTTTAAGGACTTTTAGCTTCCTTGGCCTTATGTGTTGTTTAGTGCCTTAAATCTCTTTATTATAAATAGCAAAAAGTTGGTCAGTTGCAGATAATGTTTAAGAGCATCCAATTGTTATATTTAGATCTGTAATTTCAAATTCATTCTGATGAACTTGGATGATGCATGATCCCTAAAGTGATCCGTTATCATCATCATCATCATCATCATCATCATCCATGCCTTATCCCAACATATGGAGTCGACTACATGAATCCTGTTTCGCCAATCCGTTCTATTTAAAACCATATCCATTGTTAAATTATTAGCACTTAAATCATTTCTAATAAAATTAAATTTAGAATGTCAAGACACTTAATTTATGATATTTACAATTCTAAGTACTCAGTTTTTTTAATATATTTTGGATCCATTGGTTTTGGCTTCATGTATGTTCTGTGGAATCTTATGTTCTATAAATACTTGTTATCTTACATGCTATCTATTTATTTTACACTTGTCTAATTCTATGAATTTTGGCTGCAATGTTGGAGTAATATATGATCACCGTATCTCACTGTACAATGACACATATCCCTATTTGTAATAACTTGTTTAAGACCTAAAGATTAATTTTCTGGTCTAAAAGAAGACAAGGAAAAAAAAGGATATGACACATATCCCTTGTTTTTAGATGTAAGATTATTAAACAAGAGAAGAAAGATAAGGAAAAAAGTAATCAGGTCCTTTGCCAGGACCACAAACCTTACACTATGATAATGCTAACAACTGTAACATATTGCAATGTGAAGATAAGTGAAAAACAAATATTGCACAAGCAGATTTTTCTAACAGTTTTATACTGTCATCCTTTTGCTCAAATTGTCAAATGGGTCACATGCATAGCAGGTAGAAGTAGAATAGGAATTGGGGTGGATACGAGCCGAGTCGAGCCTAATAGCTAGCTATTCGAGCTCGGCTTGCCAAGGTAGTACAAGGCTCGAGCTCGGTTCGAGCTAGAACCTTGAGCTCGAGCTTGGCTCGACTTGAGAAAAATGTTTTATAAAAATAAAAATAAAAATATTATAGATATAATATTTTTATTATATATTATTTTCTATAATAATAATAATAATATTAATATTATTATTTTTATTATTATATGTATGTAGCTATTCGAGCTCGTCTCGCGAGCCTCACGAGCCGAGCTTTATTAGGCTTGAGCTTGGCTCGATTAGTAAACAAGCTTGTAAATTGGGCTCGAGCTCAGCTCGAAGCTCGGTCGAAACCGAGTTGAGCTGAGCTTTTCATGAGCTGAGCTCAAGTACCTCGTCAAGAGCTCGACTCGTGGCCACCCCTAAATAGGAATATGTTCTTAATATTATATGCTATTGCAGATGTTGATATATTGTCATCTACAATATCTAGATACGTATATTTGCCTAGCATACACTGTTGGACATGGTACATGCTTGTTATGACATTGGATACTACATGGACAGTTTTGGAGTATACTTTGTAATATTAACACATTAACATATTTAAGTTTGACATGGTGTTTCTAACAAATCATACTACAAAGAATTTGTATATATCTAAAGCTTAATTAAATTTTTAAGTATTGAGAAAGGGCACTTGACTTCAAAACTAGATACATGATAAACATCTTAAATGGTATACATCTACCTCTATCCATATCCAGGATCTTATAAGCTTCATATTAAAAAATAGAAAATTGTAATATGAAGAGCTATACTCGAAGTAGCAAGGAAGAGAAGAGAACCACAAAACTGAAGAGAATGTCAAACTGTCCTAGCCAGTCGACCGGTCCTTTATTTATAGATGAATATAGTACAAGGTACAAGAAATTACTGGGATGCCCCTGATTARTGATGGGACACCCAGATGACTTAAATCATTAAACAGGATTAGGCCCATTAACACAGGCCCAGTTACAAGATAAGTTAAACATAAGAATGGGCTAATAAGAACTCTTATCAGCCGAACATCACTCTAACATTCTAACAAAAATCAATATATTTATGAGGCGAAAATGAAGAAATAAGAGAAAGTTCAGAAAATATAGGGGCTAAGCCCCTAATTTTGTCTAGGAAAAGGAAAAAAAGGGGATGGAAGGAGAAGAGAAAGATGATGATAAAGAATGTGCTGATTTGACAGAATTTTAAGTTCTTCCTTGCTTATTGGTTCAGGTTTTGTAGTCTTTGAGGGTTCAAGACAGCATGCACCAACATGTGTGTTGATTGAACTGTTTGTTGAAATAGAGCTATCGAATGAGAGAAGAAGAAGAAGAAGAAGAAGAAGAAGAAGAAGATATGAGATGGGCGGCAGAATTAGTTCTCAGCCAGCCCTAATCTATTATATATAACAACATTACATAATGTTACATAAATAGACTAGAATGCCCCTGATTAGTGGAGGGACACCTAGTCAAATAAACACTAAATAAGATTAGGCC